CAACGTACACAGCGATCCATTTACAGGTACCCCACATTTATAATGACCCCCCTCTCTGACTTCCTGCTCAACAGGTATGTGGTTGAATATCGTGGGAGCGGAGGAGCGTGTTCTAAAATATGTAATCAAGTCGTATTCAGAATAGTGGGAGAAATGCAGAGCCTTTAAAAAATATAAATCTTGTTTTCTCTGAAATGTCTCCCTATTATTTTTGAGGGGTATCCAAAAAAAATAGACCACCACCCTGTGTTTAACTACCAGAAGGACACAAAAACCTCTACTAGCAGGCCAATTGCAATGCACAGGATGACAGTGGTGCCCTGGGTAATAATAAATATTGTCAGGCATGTGACCCCTAAGTAGCCTGCTGCTGTGCATTGCTCAACGTGCCACCACCACAAACTAAACTACAGTATTTTTATTTTACCAGGTAAGGCCCAATGAGCTATATAGCTCTTCAACAGAAGCCACCTGGCTATCACAAATGAAAGCTCAACTAAGTGGCTTATCACGTGGAAATGTATAGTGGGCAAATAACAATTCTCAAAACGCATGTTTGTAAATGTGGAGGGGGAAAAACCCGAAGTGAGCGGAGAATATCCACACGACCAAATATACAGCATGCGTCAGGGTTGGGATCGAACCCGCGACCTTCTTGCATACCGGGCGAGGGAATTCACATCTCGGCCCACCGCGGCGCCCCACAAGCTCCAACGAAAGGCAAGATAGCGGAGGAGAAGACTTGGAATCTGTTTAAAATATTGTGACAAAATGTCACGCGAATAATAATTTTGTTGCTGGGAGTCATAGGGTGGAGGAGGGAGACGCGTGGACATGGGAGTCTACTCTGCATTCGGTCGAGGGCTCTTCAGCCTGCGTGGTTTATCGCCAAACAAAGGGCAAAATCCCTGCAAAGATACTCTGCTCTGCAATAGGAGGACTTGTATGAGGAAACAATGGGATTTAATCCTGGCAGGGGCATATGGGGTTTCACACAGTGGCATGTGGGAAACCCGAGAAGGGCTTAAGCGTAAACAAACAAGAGGAAGAAGCTGCTTGAGCGTGCTGTGTTAACCCTCCCAGCTGGGCTTGTCTTTCCATCCCAACACTCCAGGGCTGGAGATTAAGACCTTCTCTGTGTACATAGTATTCAGGGCATATAAAGGATCTGATAACCCCTTAAAGATGTGATACTTGGATTGCACGATTTAAAGGAATGGCTGTTCACGTGATGTTCTCTTTTTAAGTATGTATAATCGCAATTATTTCAACCATTCACGTTACGTAGATGCTTTACTTACACGACTGTATGTTAAACATTTTGAACAGATATTATTGATTTAAAACCAGTTGGAGACCACTGAGACTAAAAGTAATTTTTTTTTGTAAAATAGTCAAACAAATACTCAATCAATACAACACATTAAGCAACAACAGTACACGTTCATCTGTTAACGTGATATTTTATGCAAGATACACTATATTATGAAATACGATTCAGAAACAAACGCGTTTATATTGTCCAAGCAACAAGTCTAAGTGCGCTAAGAGAGAGGCAACATTGTTCCCCATGGCAAGGGTTGTCACGGGGCTGCAACACTGGAGAAGTCGCACGGTGGTCTTCAAGGCAAAACTTTGCTAAGCCCATTTTTTAAGATATTCTTGTCAGGCTTAAAAGGGCTCGCCGATTGGCCGGTCATCATGGCAGCAAAGTTACAGGACAACATATTCTTAGGTTTTTTCGGTAAAGTCACGTAGGTAAAACATTAAAATTAATAAAAGTAAAATACAATAAAAAATCACGACGTTTCGGAAGTAACACAAGCTTCCGTCTTCAGGTGGAACCGTCACAGCCCGACAGCTGTATCAAGTAAGAATATAAATCCTTGCAGTCACGAAAGCTTCAAATCTAGAATTACAGGACAACATCGCATAGATCCCTGACCTTCACATATCTGCTCCTCCGGACACATTAACTGAGTTGGCACAAAAGTACACAAAGTAAAAAAAAAAACTCCTCCCCTCTTCTTGGTTCTTTCGGTAAAGTCACGTAGAATGGAAATAATAAAAATAAAACATAATAAAATAATTCTCACGACGTTTCGGCCACAACAGACTCTGTCTACTCGACAGGCCTGCTCTCCACCTGAGGACGGCTGCTTGCGTCGTGGCCGAAACGTCGTGAGAATTATTTTATTATGTTTAAATTTTATTATTTTATTATTTCCATTCTACGTGACTTTACCGAAAGAACCAAGAAGATGAATCCCTGCAGTCACGAAAGCTTTAAATCGAAACTCCTCCCCTCTTTATACGCCACCTACATTGAACAGAGGGCTTTGCCCACTGCGGTTGATTCAATGTAACTTACAGCACTTTGCCCATTCTAAATGCGAGACGCAAACCAAAGCCATGGGTAAAGCAAACCAGCATAGCGCACGTGGAGTTTGGTTGGTGTAAATTGCAGTGGATATGCCATACGGTATTGTATATTCATTTGCGAAATTGTTCCCGAGGCTCATGGTGTTAAAATAATGATCACTGCCCAATAGTATGCAAATTCATGATCAGGCCCAACTAAATCACGATTATTCATTTGTAAAAGAAATACTTCTGTCTATGGAACTTGGTATTTGTTTCAATGGGCTATGATTTTAACAGGTAATAATACTTAATGAAGGATCAACACCATCTCAATCTGCATTGCGTGAGGAATAGCCACTTTAAAGGAGCCCGTCATATCGTAAAATGGTTCAGATTAGTGACGTTAGTATTTATTAACTAAAATGAGTGTAAAAAATAACAATCCATTCTTTGCAGGATTAAAGTATTAATACAGTGCATTATGAATCAACATTTTTTTCATCCTAATTCCACTAAACATAGTCCATTGTCATCAAATAACTAGGCCTGAGAAACGAACACTGCCAGAACCACCTGAGCAAATGCACAACACTCTTGTTTGCCACTGTTCTGGAACTGGCACACGTGTAAAAAAAATATTGGCTTCATATTTTTGTTGCAGACCAACCGTGACTGTTAGAGAAAGCTCACACAGAATGGCGGAGACAATATCAAGTCAGCCAAATGCAAGGCTGTGTTTTCAATTACCAAAACAGCAATTGTATCAGAACAAAATGTTGTGTATTAAGTCTCCTCTACCTTATATTACTTTTCTTTTTGCAGCCCCCAACCTTCAGGCCATGGCTAATCACTGCCTTCTGTTTTGGAAAAGGACATGAAAGCTATACAAAAAAATCCCCTTCCCATCCCACAAAGGCACCCCAATTAGGTTAAACGCTTCCAAACCTCTGCATGCCTATGCAGTTATGTGGTGAAGGAAAACTTTACAGCCAGAAGGACAAAGGACCAAGCTCTCTACATATTCTCACATTGAACTCTGCTGCTAGTGCGTGATCCTGCGCTTTATTATCATAACCATCAGATTGTCAAGTAGCACAACAATGCAGTGTACGCAAGTCCACAATGCAGTGTTAGCTGTGACGTGTTGACTGCAGTGCGCTTTAGGCTGACGTGTAAAATTGATAAGGTTTTGTTCTTTGGCAATGACTTTGTTTACCAGCGTGAACTTCATCATCTGTTTGGCTTCTTACTCCTCTTGTCAATGAGATGGACACCGTGCTGGTAAAAATGGGCTCACAAATGTGTTTACAAAGCGTACGCAAAAATCTCACCACTACCACAATTACTAAATTAAGTCATGTGTAACCGACGGCATGTGCGTCACAAGCAGTGCAGATTGTAAAGTTGTAGTCAGTGGCTATAGGAGGGATTGTCTTGAGTGAACTGGCAACTGAACAACCTTTAAGAAAAATGTGTTTAATGGAAGTACATAAAAGCACTAAAACAATACAATCAGAATGTGAAATACAATCACAGTTATGGGAAACCAATATAATGAGACGTACTCCAAATGTGTGTATTGTCGCATCGTGAAATTAAATCAAGGCCACCTTAATAATTCTCAATATGACAAAAAGCCCCTAGCAACGTAGTGCATCGGCTGCAGTGTGCGGTTGCTGAGGAGCAATGGCTATTTGACAATGATCTTGCCAACTTAGGTCTGATACCTGGCCAAGAACATCACTGGCACTTGGTATGTGAACCTGATCTGGATCACCCCAAGATCAACTCAGCCTAAAATAAGAGAAAGGCCACCAGGCGTACTGTTGACCACACAACCATCGGCGTTAATAATTGACCTTTCCCCAGCAGCCTGCGCATGGTAAACAACAGCTTTGTCGTTATGTAACATCTATTATGCAATGCGAGTGGGTGAACTTGGCATCTATTAAAAGAAACAAAATTCGAATGTGTCCCCAAACTCAAGCGCATTGGGTGGTGCTCCTCATGGTCACCGACATTGCTGCAAGCACAATTCTATCGTGTGGACCAGTGTCATCTAAAAACAATCCTTGACATCCCAAAATTGCTCCTCGTACGTAATATTTCATTCGGATTAAGAGATTAGGTGGCAAAACTTACGCAAGCTAACTCTCGCGCTCACTTATTTACTTGAGCACTTTCCAATTTAATTCGCTCTTTGGCATAGAGCAACAGAACACCATCAGGCACACGTGACAGAATGCACAGTCCTCTCGCTGACAATCTGCTACACCCTGCATAGATATGGCTGTGGCAAGCAGGCTGTGGAGAGATGTGAACTACCTCGCCTAGTATGCAGGAGGTCATGGGTCCCGATCCCACCCCGATGCCCGTACATGTGGAGTTTGCATGTTCTCCTTGTGGTTGCGTGGATTTTTCTCCGTGTCCTCCGGTTTTCCCCTCCACATATAAAAAACACGCCTTAAGGAGTATTTGGCCACTATACATTTCCACGTGAGAAGCCATTGCTTTGAGCGGTAATTTGTGGCCAGAACGCTTCTGAAAAAGAGCTACATAGCTATGTGTGGCCTTACCTGGAATACTAAAAAACAAAAAGTTAAAATTGCCAGAGTTAGTTTAGACCCCAAGCTCACCTTGCATCCCTCGCAAGAGCTGACACCATAGTGGTACCCCGATGACTTGTCCTGGCACACGAAGCAGGGCTTGTAGGCACGAGGCGGCGGCGGCGGCGACGCTGGGCTTGGCGAGTGCTCTTCTGAGCTCGTGCTCTGCGACTCTGCCGCTAAGAAACAACACGAGGCGCCACCACACGCTGCATGTCAATAATAAAGATACACAACGCAGGCACTAGATTTGGTCGAAGTCACCGCGCACGGCACACACGGTTTACTGCCGTGTGCCTCGACGGATGCGTAACCCAGAAGCTCCGCTGTTCTCTTGGGCCACCCCTATGGCGACTCAGCCTGAAATAAATACCCAGTGGGTGTGTAAACATCAGCACTTGGGGAGCCAAAGGCAGCCAAGGGGTTAGTATTGTCCACACCGCACGCTCATGTGCTATGCTGGCCACAATAGGTGCTCGCTAACCAGCATTATCTGAAACATTCTATACACTACTACGGTGGGGTGGGGGGGGGGGGTCATCGTATGTGTCTGTCTCTTTTTGGATGTGTTTTAAAGACAAAGAACCACTTATTGCATACAGGCTATTGGGGAAAGTCCTGTAGTTGCGAGAATGATACTCTGGAAATTAATGCAAGATAGGCGAGATTTGTATAACCCTCCCACAGACGAGTACTGGAAATGGAGGAACAGAATGAGTTCTTGTGGGTAATAACTGACATTTTATAGGCAGTGAATAGAATTATTTGGAAGCAATACAACGCTTTGCAAATAATCATCTTCACATGCTGGAGTTTCAGAATTTTATGGAGGCTTCAAATTTCTATTTCAGTATAAACAAATTAAATGCATGAAACCTTAGCACGAAATAAAATAAATTCCCGTGCCATTGTTTTAATCTAATTATCTTAAAATCCACGCGTACAAAAGCTAAACTATGAAAAACTAAACGAGGTTTTATTTTAGCAGCTAAGGTCTCACTGAGCTATACAGCTCTTTTTCAGAAGCGATCTGGCCACAAATGATAGCTCAACGAAGTGAATTATCACGTGGACATTTATAGCAGCCTAATACTCTAAACACATGTGTCTAAATGCGGAGAGAAAACCCGGAGTAAAATCCACACGACCACGGGGAGAACATGCAAACTCGAAATATACAGGCGTCAGGGTAGGGATCGAACCCACAACATCTTATATACCAGGCGAGATGGTTAACATCTCGCCACAGTGGCGGAACTCAGTCGTCTAATGCGTAGTTAGAACATCAGGTTGTTACATTTCAGCACATTGTTTGTCAATGGTTCTGCATGTATAAATGTCAAGAGGCTCTCAACTGTATCTCTGTAATCATTGGAGCCAAGTCAATAAGACTATATGTCATGAAATTATATCTTGTTACACGAACATCATGAACATTTAGTTGTTGGTTTACACAGCTTGTTCTGTGCTTTCCAGAATGCCATAATAGCTTGGCAATTTGAATCATTAATCTCAACAAAAATTTCACAATGCATAGCAGACAGGCAATTTAAATAAACATGCAATTTGATACATTAATAGCTTTGGTTAATTATTCATGTATTGTGATTGTTCTTATACTCGTTTAACCAGCAAACCCTCAATGAGTGTGACAACTCTTCAGGAGATTCCTGCCAAGTTTTCACAGCAGGGCAGTTGATTGCTACGTACTGTACAGTACATGCCAATCGAATATGTAATGATCACCGATGATTTTCAGCCTTTTGCCAATCAACCTCTGGATGAAGGGTCTCTTCATGCCATCTCATGTATGGGGGTAGTTTGACCAAACTTGACCACGTGGGTCTTTGCGGGACTAGCGTCAGCTGTGGCCAGGAGCCGAAACTCAGATCACCGAGTTGCTCACACAGTGCACTTACCACACTTTCCCACACATTTGGGGTCTACGAAAGGCTCAGCAGCTTGCACTGGTGCCACGTGAATGGGAACCATGTTCCTGAAAAGGTCTGCATGAGAAACTCGCACAAGTCAAGGGTCCAATTTGTATTGATTATTGGAGTCTGAGCATCATTACTGGTGACTTTAATATGCCCCATAAACCCCACCGGTGATGCTCCTAAAGCAAAAATAAAACAAACCTCAAGTTAAAGTATTTCATGGCTCAATTGACCACGGAATGGTGGCAATTTCCATTCACAGCCCTGAAACCAATGGTGGACATTCCGTAAAATATAATAAAAGGTTGCCATCCATCGTGGATGGATATTCTATGCTCATGTTCAGTATCTCACAGGGAACCACACATTAGCTGGTCCAGGACTATACAGCTGGCCAGGTTTATTTGACATGATGTGCAGGTTTTGGACACTGTTATAACATCTTGTGACTGGCAAAATACCGACGCTATTCTTAACCTCAATAAAGCTCATGCCCTTGGCCCTGGGCATACCCAAGAAGCAAGCAATGAAACTGCCCCATCAGCAAGCTAATTGGCGTTGACAAATGCGTCGAAGAGAGTGCGAGTTTGCACTGAATGAGCTTCATCTGCAACGCGAGCACGAGCCTCATCATCAGTGCTGCACTGCGGCTTGAATTTCTATCAGAGCACAAGGTGTAAAGCTGGTTTGTCCTATTCTTAGGTTTTTTCGGTAAAGTCACGTAGGTAAAACATTGAAATTAATAAAAGTAAAATAAAATAAAAATCACGACGTTTCGGAGGCAACACAAGCTTCCGTCTTCAGGTGGAACCGTCACAGCCACGACAGCTGTATCAAGTAAATGAGAGATTGCAAGAGCTACCACTCCGTATATATAATGGTTGGAGAGGGGGGAAGGGCCAAGTACGGCACACTTTTTATTCATATGGTAAGGTGAGGCTTAAGAGGGTGAGCCTTTGTTATGGAGAGGTACGGTTTGTCCTCTTTGTCTTCTTTGAATAGCAAGTATAAATGTATCAAAAGTTACTGTGTTAATAATACAATGTCGATATACTAACCATTCTTTGGCCCATGTCAGCATCAAATCAATGGGTATTATACAAGCGGATGAAGTAATGTAAGTATGTGTGAATGAGATTTAGTAATTATTGGATTTTTTTAAATAAGATATCATCGGCTTTGCAAAAAAATATTGTGCGTACCGATTTTAATTATTTTATAATCGTTTTATAGTTATTGTACTTTACTTAGATAAGCCTCACCAAGTCAACACTTTTTCCAGAAATATCCTGCCTAGCTAATCCCTTATTAAATGTTTTCTATTTGTGTAAAATCTGAGACCAAAAGAAATCCATGCATACTGGGGGATGTTTAAAATGTATATAGATAGGTCAGCAACTAACATGACTTGCATTAATCAAACGTACTGACTACCTCACTCCCCTACAAGTTGAAAGTATTACAGCATGTGTGTGATCCATTCATCCCACTTACAGAGCACTAAAATATAGGCATGCACCGCATAAGGGCGGCGGACATTGCCTAGCGGTACTCTGCCACTGCTGGGCAGTTCAACTCCAGCGGACACCCTAATTAATACTGTTTGACGCGTAGGCTTTCGCGACCAATATTATTCCTAATAATGTTTTTTTTTGTTAGATCGCGTAAGTAAAAATGTGTTGTTAACCCACCACCACCCGACACAACCAGTTAATAAAGTTTGTCACGTAAACAAAACCAATTAATTACTACTTCAACACCACTGGTGTGTTGGAGAATAAATCCACAACATTGATGGTGATCAGGTGATCATCATCAATGCTGCACTGCAATTCTGGCAACATTTGCCTGATGAAGCTGGATGCAATTACCAGCGAAACAGCACAGTACTCAAATTATAAATGTTGTGGGTTTACTCTCCAACACATGGGTGGGCTTAAGTAGAAACTAATTGGCACATTTTACGTGACAAACCTTAGTAATTGGCTGTCGGGTGGTGGAGGCTAACGACTAATTAACACTGCAGGTGTATTATCCGTAAAAAACACATGCGTCGTCTGCTTCACTGTGGATGTTAAGGATCCCATGCCGCAATTCGTTAACAGTAGGCCATTGTGTGCCGGTGTCATGGGACAAAATTGGAAAAATCACCCGCAAATTACTCACTTGGAATCTACGTGGTAATTATCGCCTACTCCTGCTGCTGCTAAACCTTGGAAGAAACCCAACTGGAAACGAGTCATGAGACTCAGCGAAGCGTTCCTGGGTAAACGGGCCAATAACACCACGAAGAAATATACAAAGATGCGAAATCACGATACAATGTGACACAATATATTTACTACGTTCGAAAGCAAAGGTTGCCTAATGAATTGGCTTATAACAAGAATCACGGGATAGAAAAAGCTTTTGTTATCTGCCAGTTGACCATCTAGAATGCTCTGTTAACCCCATCTGTCATCTACGGCAATGCGGATCTTCCTTCACATATCCAGGACAATTCCGACAGCCATCCCATCATAGATCTGTTGTTTACGGAAGCTTCATGACGCTGCCGAGTGGTGGCGCTAGCGGCAGTGTGTACGTGCCAGTATTGTGCTGCTGTGTACTGACTGTACTCTAATATATTTATGTTGAACTGAATTTATGTTCATGCCGCACGTAGCCAACCGTGCTAACCACCTTAGAATGCTAAAATGCTCTACAACTGACTGCCGAGTACGTCTGTAAAAGAGTATATTGTTTCTTATATCAGTCAATACGAAGCTTCTTTCCTGAAAAGTTGTATGTACTTGGAAAATGTTGGTGAACCATAAGTCGAACTCTCAGACAACCGGCATATTTGATAAACACGGCACTCTCCATTCCCCATGAATGCGGGATAGGAGAGCTTTGTTCCACCATGTTTTAGGCCTTGTAGTTAGAAGCTTCAGCCACAATCTGATTAGTTATAAAAGGCAAAAAAAAGACCCTGAAATTAAATCATCAGTACCAACAAGAGGCAGTGAAGAGGCCAAGGTATTATATGATGGCACGGGGCCCACTCATGAGCAGCTCTGCTCAGTGATTCTGGAAAAAAAACATTATTTCAATGACTCGGACAGACACCCGTGAAATGCAGATCCCATTGATAACTCAATCGACCCCCTTGAAATACACTTACAAAAAATGAATCACTCATGTACAAACATATTGCTTATGTCCAACATATAAACGTTTCAAACTTTTTCTTTACATTCAAA